TCTGTGATTCTATGATCATGCAAACGGCTCATTGTTGTGGGGAAGTCTGTGAATTGTACTAGTAAGAAAATAAGCTGAAATTTTTACCTTCAAGCATCAAGGAAAAAAAAAATCCTGTTTTTTAATTTTCTACTGATAAGTTTTACACTGTAGATGGACATAAATTTGGGACTTTGCTACAGTAAACTTCTCTTGCTCTGCCGTTTCAGGTCCCCCTGAAGTCAATCAGACACGTTAGTTTTCAGGATGAAGATGAAATTGTTAGAATAAACCCCCGTGACATTTTGATACGTCGTTATGCAGACTACAGGCATCCTGACATGTGGAAGAACGACCTGGAGAGGGATGACGCAGACTCAAATATACCATTTTCTAAATCAGACAGTAAAAAATCTGACTATTTATACCCGTGTGGGGATGGAACTAAGTTGAATTCCCTGAAAGACTCAAAGAGTTCTGTGGTATTTAAAACTCAGCCTTCCTTATCAAAATTTAAAAACTCAAAAAGAAGAAAAGAGGATGGTGAGCGTTCCCGCTGTATATACTGCCAGGAAAGGTTTAATCATGAAGATAACGGCAGAGGAAAATGTCAGGATGCGCCAGATCCTATTAAAAGATGTATCTACCAAGTTAGTTGCATGCTTTGCGCAGAGAGCATGCTGTATCACTGCATGTCAGACTCTGAAGGAGATTTCTCTGATCCTTGCTCGTGTGACACTAGTGATGACAAGTTCTGCTTACGCTGGTTAGCGCTGGTGGCACTCTCGTTCGTTGCTCCGTGTATGTGCTGCTACCTCCCCTTGAGAGCATGCCATCACTGTGGTGAGGTGTGTGGGTGCTGTGGAGGGAAGCATAAAGCTGCGGGATGAATCAGTCTTGTGCCAAACAGAGCTGAAAAATCTTTGTTTCCAGGAAGCGTCTAACTTGGATTTGTGGAAGCTTTTTGGCAAGCTGAAGGGAATCTTCTTTCATGTAAGAGGTGCTTGATGTGGAGGAAGCAACGAGACTTGTCAGACCTTGGCATTTTACAAGTGCTAGCCATGCCTAACTCTTTCCTTTGAGCGCGTGGCGTTGTTGCAAGTTGTGAAGGAGATTTTGCAAAGGAAAGCCTATTCTTATTATTGGCTATAAAATGAGTATATAAACTATGATTATACTAAAAGGGATTAACTTTTGCCACTTTGTACATTCATGGTTTAGATGAGGGGGCTCTTTTAAAAGGATTAAAACTTACCGGAGGGGAAATTTTAACTAAAAGTGCACTAGTGACAGTTGATTTAAGATTAAGAAAAGTTAATACTCGGCAAATGAGAAATGAAACTGATTTTAAGTGCAACTAAATCACTTATTAATAGTTTTTTGGAAGCAACTTTATGTATAAATAACAAATGTTTATATTTAACTAAATGTGTAAGGTACGAATTATTACATGTTAAACTTTCCTTCCCTCTGATATAGTAGGTATGGACCATATCTACTGTCACATTCCATGGTAGTATTTTAAATATTTAATTAGTTAATTTAGTCGCATTTTTATTCCAGATGGACAAATTGATATTTTCAGTCCTGTTTCCCTTCAGCTACAGTTTGTGTTGAGTTGTATCCAGACATTCTGATAATCTAAAATCCTTTAAAATATTAATTATTCTAGTCTTGAGTGACCAATATTTTTTTGTTAAGCACAGATGTAATTGTCTAAAATGTTCTTGTTAGAACATAACATTTATTTTTATATATAAATGACTTTGATTTCAACATAATAGCAAAAAGAAAGTTGTTTCTGTTGCTCAACCAGCAAGTTGTTTTCTTTTGGGGTGTCCTCCAAAAAAACACATTATTGCATATTCAAATGTTCATTAAGCGAAAGGTACCTTAAGGCAGTTGTAACAAGTTGTCATCAGTGTTCTTGTTTATCCTTCTGTTAAACTAGGATCCTGTTCAGCTGTTTATCAAGTACTATGATTAAAACAAAAGATTAATAACAAAAGTGAAATTGTTTTCATTATTTTGAACTGCAACTTTTTCTTACTTGAATGGGCAAGAACAAAAGTTCTGTGTGTTTTGTTCAAAAACAGCAACAAAAGACTTGGCTTGAGAAATAAATTGCAGCCCAGGAAAAATTGGAGTGAACTTCTTAATTGAGGAAATCTGGAGGGGAGGATGCGGGGGGAGGGAGGGAGGGAGAGTGTATGTGTTCCATATGTGTATGCACGGTGGTATAGTGTGTATTATATTTGTTATGGTTTTGTACTTAATTAGTGTTTAATTTTCAGATAAGAATTTAACGGGTTAACCCATACAGAATTTTTTAAAATATTACATGCTTTGCTCTGTCATGAAGTAAGAAACATTTACCTCTCATTAAAGATACGTAAAACACTAAAACCAGTCATAATTTGAGCCAAGGTGCCTATGTGGTATCCTGGCTGGAGTGGGACAGGCTGTCCTCAGTATACCCTCGTAATTAAACAAACAAAACCCCTAATTGATTTTAGAGGATGCGCATGACTGACTTTTCTCACTTCCTATGCATTTCTTCAGCATATTTTGTGTCACTTTTCTTTCTGCATGTAGCAGTGCCCTTAATTTTCCTTTGTAGCCCAGAAGTAAAACGAGTAAATGTAAATAACATTAGCTGTCTGTTAAATACTTTTTGAAAGAAAACACTTATATTTATGTTACAGCTTGGACTGACCACCTTGTGTACATAGATGATCTCAAAAGTATTATTTCACATTGAAAAGAAGACAAATAATATTGATTACTGTATAAGTTAGGGAAGAGCTTCTAGTTTTGTATTAAGAGTTGACTGGATTAATTAAGTCCAAGAATATGACGCGGTAGCAGCAGTCTTGGTTTTTACTCTTTATATATTTGAAAGCTGCTACTCTGGTTGTTTCTCGTGCTTCTTGCATACTCAGCTAAACTTGGTTGCCTGGAATAGACTGTTAACTTTAAAAACAACTTTGATGAGAAAAATTATCCCCCCCCCCCTTAATGAATGAGAGGATTTTAATATTCTAAGTAGTAGGTTCCTAATTCAAGGTGAAGAGAGGCATGAACAACTGAAGAAAAGAACTTGCTGGCTGTATAGGAGAATGCTATGGAATCATACTGTGTATATACTCCAGAAAGAAATGAGTTGAACGGTTTCCTCTGAGCACTACACAACATAGTGAAGCTCCTGGTCCTGTACTGTATTTTATAGGAAATATATATGCTTTAATATTTCTATTGAATGTGTGCATTAATATTTTCACCTTGCATTTAACCACTTTGCTGCTAAAACTGTGTTCACCTTTTGCTTCCTGCCCCGAAGACTTCTCCATCTGAAAAGAGTTACTGAACTGACGCACGCTCACTTTTCCTCCTCGTGCTGGCAGTGTCAGCCGGCGTGCCTGGTTTGGGAGCGACCAAAAGGACCGGCTGCAAAGATCCGTGGTTACGTGAGGGTGGTTTTAGTAGGATGCACACCTACTTTTTCTTCTGGCGTTAAGGATCTTGCCCACCGTTGCAGTTAGGAGATGAGTGGTGCAAGGGGTACAGCAGACCCCGTGCCAGAACGCGCTGTTACATCTGCGCATCTTTTGTTTGTGACAGCACGTCACGTTTATTCTGTCTCTTCTGAAATACTTCCTTGAGCATTTGGGAAAAGAGAGATTTCTTCCCCAAGCCTTACCTCCTCCCCTCGTCCGTAACAACAGAGCTGTAGTTGTCAGGCATGGAGTAGCAGAGCTTTGTCTTGCTGGGAGGGTAGACCCGAGCCTTGGGAAACCATCACTGAATATTAAGTCCCTCGTTTGTTGAAAGTCTCAGTTACCGTGAAAATTAAGTTATTTCCCCTAGAAAGTGGGGGAGGAGGTCAAATGATGGCAGCGCTCCTGCACCATCTACTGGGGGAAGAAGAGTCAGCCGCGTTCAGGACCGAGATGCGATTCCATAGTAATTTAACTGGCGCTCTTGGAGCGAGAGTGCGTCAGCTACAAAAATGCGTTGAGCTTCAGTTATGAATTTACAAAATTCATAGTGATTTGGGCTCTTATTGTAATTCTTTCATCAAGCTTCTTAAATTTCTTTGTTAATTAAAAGTAAAAATGCCTAAACCACATATTTTGTTAGGCTTAAAGTTGCTGCAATGGCCCATTACTCGAGTTTAAAAATCAGGAATGAAACGAAAATTATTTTGATTCTGTCACTGGGTTCCTAAGAAAGATTCCCTCCCCAACCCCCTTGATGTTCTTTCCCATGGGAAAGAGATGGAATTTTGATGTTCATGCGGAGGGAATATGGGCTTTTGGTTCGTGATGCGAATAGAGTTTTGAGCGTGCACAGATGGGGCCCTGCGCTCGCTCGTGCGGTTCAGTAGTGGTGGAGGCCGCACCTACAGCTGTGTGTGAGATTAAAGCAACATTCTGATAAACGGCTGCGATTGCTGTGGTAAGGGTTTAGTAAACAGCAGCAGATGATGGCACAAAACCCTTTCCAGAGCTTACGTAAAGGATGTTCCCAACAGTCGCAACCAATGTGGTTTTCTCTAGAGAAACAAAGGTGTTTTGAAGAATGTCTTGATTTTGCGTGTTGAAACGTAACGTTCCCATTTCAGATCTGTTCTCTTCATACCGGTCCGGTCATGTGTACCTGGAGGATAAGTTGAACTGCCGGGTAAATAATGCAGAGGTTTAAATTAGACGTTAAATCTTTTCAGAGCTTATGGCACAGTATGCAGCCAGTACAGTGACACGTTCGTGTTCATGAAATGAAGATCAAGGCTGGTGGCTGGCAACAAAACAGTAACTTGAAAAAGATGCCTTATGGTACTGTTAGTCCAGCAGCTGGGTGGAGAAAACTTCAATTTCTTTTGGTGCACTGATAAATATACGGAGGGGCAGGGAGGTTGTTTGGGTTGGGTTTTGGTTTATTTTCCTGAAAGCTTCTCTTTCTTAGTTGCAAATGTTGTGGTTCGTTTAAGAAATCAAAGCATTCGGGGAAGAAGAAGCCTTCATGTTCAAAGCTGCAGCATAAGCTGTACCTACTTTTCCTTCTTTCGCTTGGTGCCGTTTGCTTTCCAGCCTAATGACTTCAAAGTGCCTCATGTGTATATTGTTTCCATTAAACCTCAACTGCTATTTCTTTCTACTAAAGGACTTATAATTTAGTTAACTCACCCCACAGGTGTTTCCTGTATGAATATATCTTGTCGTGTTGAGTATATAATGTAAATATACCTTTACGTTTGTAACTGGTTTGTTACATCATACCCTTGTACGTTGACATAGCAGATAACAGCATAAAACTTGTTTAAATGGGGTTTTTTCCTGTAATTACCTGATTAAAACAATCTTGAAATAAAACAACAGACATGTTTTTGCCATTCTGTATTGGGATTACTCAGTGTTTATGAAACTATATCTTGCAGCTCAAAAACAGAATAAAAAGATGTAAATACAGGTAGTCTTTTTTGCCACAGTATTCTGCTTGCTGATTAAACAGAATGTTAATTGAGTCATTTTATGATTTTTTTAAGACTGGTCAAGCAAACACTGCATTGCCTTCAAGCTCCAGCATCTTTCGTCGTAAGAACCATTTTTAAGAGTTGCTATAACGTTTGAAACAAAAAATGTGCCTGTAGCAGCTTGCTTTGTATCTACAGCAGTGTTTGTCCTTGACATCATGCTATGGAGATCCAGATTCCCTCATATAAATCGCGTTTTATTTGAGTTCCCACTCAAACCCCACAACAGAAATGTGTATCTTTGAATATAATTGTAAGCTTTGTGCAAGTTGAAGAGTAAGATACACACCAGAAAAGGAAGGAAAATTAAGATGAACACATAGAAATCTGTGAGACCTGTTAATTTGAAGCTCAGTG